TATTCTTATAATATATATATGATTATCATTAGCATAATTGTTCATTGCTTAATGTTTTTGTTTATTTAAAGCTCGAAATAATAGAAAAAATATTTCCACAAAAATTTTTTTATTTGTTTTTATCGAATTCTTCTTCATAGAGCAAATAATTCGTGTACACATCGATAAATTGAAATTTGACATCTCACCTACGATTTCCCGGCACAAATAAAAGTTCTCGAAAACCAGTTTTATTAGCCAAATCAGCTTTCACGGACCGTTCGATATTGTCTATTTCTTCGTAAATATTCTCTTTGCCTCTCAATTGAACAAGCGAATTTATAGCTTTTTGCCTGTTATTGTGGCGCAAAAGATGGTACGGCGTTTCTGGTAGCCAGATGAATGCAACCACAAACAAGCACGGACCCATCAAAGATACGAGGGCGAGGTTTTGCACCGATACAAACGGACCTATCACGTACTCCATTAAAATGCCAAGTTTCACAGCCACTGTTAACATGGATGTCAAATTACCGCGAATATCTGCTGGTGAAATTTCACCCAAATATATCGGTGTTGCTGAATAACCAATGCCCATACCCAGTCCGGATATAAACCTTGATACGTATAGCTCCTGTATAAGAAAAAATTGATAAGAAGATAGTCTGTATATTAAACAAGAAACCAATTAAACCTTTTTTGATCCTATTGTCGAGAGATTTTTATACAAAGAAGCATGCTATTTATCTATCATTCAAAATTTATCAATATAAATATCAAAAAACAAGATCATTATATTATTGCTATCTGATAATATTAATTTTTAAATGTCAGCTAAAGATAAAAAGCTGGTTCTTATACAAATTTAGGAAATACAATATCATTATAATTTTCCAATTGCCAAAACTAAATTTTGTGTATATATTTATGATTAATCTTTCTAAATGCAATTAATGTGGCGAGTCCGATATAAGTCCGATTTTAAAAAGTGCTTTCTCTAATGAACAATTTAAGAATACTACTCGTTGAAAAAAGTTTAACGTGTAAATATTTTATTTACGATTCTCATTGCTTCGATAAGTCTTGCAATTGCTCTTGTATTTGTTCGAACGTCTTGCCTTTGGTTTCAGGTACACAGAGAAATATGAATAAAGCACCAGCGAGACTGCACGCGGTGAATATCCAGAACGGTACGTGTGCGCCAACAATATCGGTAATGATCAAATACAACGTTGACATAACAAAACTCAACAAACTGATAAGTACTAAAAAAATCGTGCTGCCGAGAGCCTTCACATTTATGGGATACATTTCGCTGAGCAAGGTGAACGGTACCGAGGCTAGGCCCAAAGCATACATGATTGTATACATCATCACACTTGTGGCGAGCAACCAAACTAGATGGTTGGTATTTATATGATTGTATTGCAGATTGAAATATATCGCGACTATAGCGGTCGAACAGCCCGAACCGATTGCGGAGATGATCAGCAGCGACTTCCTACCGAAGTGATCAGTGATAAACATAGAAATAATGGAAAATATAACTTGTATGACGCCCAGTATCATGGTCAGATACTTGCTCTCCAGATTACTATTCGCCTGATCGAAAATGATATCAGCATACTGCAACATTGTTTGAAAACCGGACATTTGTTGAATTACGCCCAGGCACGATATTATTATTAGAGCCCTGTAAAATCAAGATTATTAATCAAACTCGGCCGAAATAATAGCTTTGATGTTATCATTGTAATAATTTCAAATTACTATATCAAAAATCGATTGAAACAAAAATATTTTTGAGAACTATTATATAAAAATACAATTATTTTATATAGAAAAGAATAGATTTCTATATAATTATATATATTATTTGCGAAATTAACTCATACATAGGTGGATATAATAGAAAAGATATTTTTGGAAATTTTTTGTTCATTAATGATTGTGTGTGACGATAAGTTTGACATCTCACCTGCGATTTCCTGGCACGCATAAGAGTTCTCGAAAACTAGCTTTATTAGCTAAATCAACTTTTACAAACCGCTCAATATCATTTGCTTCATTGTGAACATCCTCTTTGCCTCTCAATTGAATGAGAGAGTTTATAGCTTTTTGCTTCTCGTTGTGATGCATCAAATAGTACGGAGATTCCGGTAGCCAGATGAAAGCAAATATAAATAGACACGGTCCAATCAAAGACACGAAGGCGAGATTTTGTACCGATAAAAATGGGCCTATCACGTACATAATTAAATTGCCGATTCTCGTGGCGGCTATTAACATGGATGTCAAATTACCGCGGATGTGCGCTGGTGAAATTTCACCTAAATATATCGGCGTAACTGAAAAAGCGATACCCATAGCCAAACCGGATATAAACCTTGATATATATAGCTCCTGTAAAGAAAAGAAAAAAATAGGAAGATAAAGAGATTGACCGTGCCATTGATTGCCGTCTGTGAATGGCATAAGATGCTTGGATGCTGCGTCAATTTACAATGCATTTATAAACGATACCTAGATAATGATAATGAAGCAATGTACATATATATGTATGTGAGATAACATTGTGTCAGAAATTACTATAGATATGTATATATTTCTTTATTTGAGTATTGTTTAAACGCGGATATCAGATCAGCACAGTGTCTTTGCACAGTGTCCCAGCACAGTGTTTTTTTATCATTCATAGGCAATTATTCTAAGAGTTTATACTATCATTAAAAAAACTGACTTCTTTTGAAGCAGCAGCATGAAGCAGTAACAATTTTTACGAGATTATATTTGTTTTTAAATATATTTAAAAATTGCATATATTTTTTGAGTTTAATTTACAAATTAGTTTTAATCTAAATTTTACATGCAATGGAATTAAATGTTTAGATAAAAAGTACGATGCGCAGGTTAACAATTTTTAAATATTATTTGTTTTATGTATATAGTGGTGTGTGTGTATTTCATATATGTATATTTGGAGATCAACTAATTTTCTAAAAGTTTTTCTTCTCACAATAGAAACTCTTGCAGCAATATATTTAATGATGGATAAGTTATTTGTTATGTTTTATACAGGCGATTATCATTATAGATATATAAGAAGTTTTCGTAAATTTCGTAAAAGAGAGAATTCTATTCTTATATATTTATTTCTTTAAGATAAATAATATACCTGCTGAAATTAACTGCTTTTCTATCATTACTTAGATAAACTGTAATAGATTGTACATATCTGAAGAAACAAGAACAATATATCTATAAAAAAAAATAAATGTAGCAATTAATTATAAAAGAATTTGCACTATATCATAAATCAATACAATTACACTATCATTTTATCGCTGATTTCTAATATATAATATATTGAAACGCTTAATATCATATTAGCTATAGACATATATATTTGTGTATTCATAATTATTTGAATTCAAGAAATCTGTAAAATATAAGTCTTCTCATTTTTTAAAAGTCATCAGATAATAATTCTTTGATAATACGATGATAATATTTCTTCACAATAATTGTAAATATTTTTACTGCAATGTGACCATCGAATGCGAATCACGTACTTCCATAGCTTATCAGACAAAATTTCATTTTCTTCAAAGAGAAGGGAGAATTATCTTTTATAGATAAAATAAATCTTATATATTGGAGATTGTGTGTGTTGGGATTAGAAACTTGATTGTACATTATAGCATCATGAAATATAAACTAGAAGTGGCGCTCTATCTAAACTACTTGTCAAGAAAGAATGTATTATATTAGATCGATAAACGCCAAAGTATACAAGCCAAGCTCTTTTAGCCATTTCAAAATAAAAAGAATCGGGATTATGACTAGTAAAAATTAAATCCCCCAAATCTTAATTTAAAATTTTAAAATGGTTGTATACATATGGTTTTCAAAGAAATATTTTTTTATATATCTTGCGAATATAGAAATCATTAAATTACCCACGGTGACGTTGCAAAAGCTATCATCAACCAGCTGATTATCGAAGGCACGGCCGTAAATAACATGGTATTTTTTCTACCAATGACATTCACCATAAATCCACAAAGAATAGAACCTCCAGCTGCACCGATCATAAGTAAGGATGCCACCCATGAGGCTTCTTTCGTAGTCAAATGAATGGACTTGGCATCATTACCTTCCATCAGTTTAGGCAAGGATGGCGATGTCCAACCCAAAAATTGACCGAGTGACAGCATGCCCAGATTACCTTTCAGGTAAAATAATACGGTTCGAAAGGGATTGATTCATCAACAATGTTGATTTTATAAATAAAATATTCTTTATATATCTGAATTATATATATATATATATATTATCCTTAAAAGACGTCTAAAATACGACTTAAAGACGTTTTATTGTTCCTTAGATATTTATAAGATGTATTTTGGTCTTCTTGTGCTATCTGGGTACGCATGTAGTTGTGCGTATACGTTATCAGTTTAATTTAAATCTCAATATGAGCATTGAGACATTTAAGACTTCATTAATTTATTATATATATTAATTAAATATTATATAGAGTTATATACGTAACAAAAATTAAAAGAAACGTATTTAAAAATTTCTAAAAAGAATATATAATTATATATTGTAAAATATATGTCTAAAGCAGTCTGTATTAGCAATTATTGAATTTTAATTTAAAAATTGGATATAATATGTGCATATAATAATAAGTGCAAAATAAGCTTTTTCTATTATTTGAGAGATCAGCGAATGATAATTGTATAACAGTTTGTTGATAAAATATTTTTTCGATGCCAAATGTGAGCATTCTCATTTCAATATGTACATGAAATGGAAATCGCGTTCATCTAATAAAATTTTATATACTGACGAGAAAGAACCCAGACAGCACATGTCCCTAAAAGACATCTAAAAGACGGTTTAAAGACGTCTTAGTGTCCTTTAGACATCTTTAAGATGTCTTTTGGTCTTCTTGTGCTGTCTGGGAAACTATCCCTTTTATAAATAAATCTTATGAGCTCTATAAAACCTTATCTAGAAGTCTCTTTGTAGATTAGAGAATGGGATGGAATTTAAAATTTAAACTAAATTTTATTTAAAATATTAAAAATATAATATTATTAAAAATAAGAATATTAAATAAATTTGGTTGTAAAAAAAGTAATTTAATCTACTATAAATTTTAGAGATTAATAATGAACAATTTAATCGAAAAAATGTTTATCCATATTTAATTTTATTTCGATATATGTACATACCTGCCATGGCAGCAAGATATACCTTCTTCATTTTCACAGATATTAGTACAAGGCAAGGATTATTTCTGCGTACGAACGCTAAATGATTATAGTAGCAGTTGAAGGAATTTTATCAAAATAAAAGCGGTTTAGATAATAGCATTATATCAGTTTTATCTCGAAGAAAATTTTGATATGTATTTATTATTATCTGACGTTACAAAATTGAATGACTTTTATATGATCTTAATATGAGACAGATTAAATATCTTGTACGATTAAATATCTCGTGTGTGAATAACTGTGTAAAATATGTCAAATATTCTATAATATATATTTTATATATATATCGTAAAAAAGAAACGCGCGAAATCTCTCTTACTGTCTGATTAAGCTCTTTTTATCGCATTATTTAGAAAAATTTATATCACAGTACATTTTATTTCTCTATTATTAAGAACTTATTAGTATGTAAATTGAAGAACAATAATAAGTTAAACAGCAGAATACCAATGCGAGCAAATAGTTTCGTAATGCTTTAGTAGCAAATTTATTATAATTAATATAGAAAATTATATCAATTTTAATAATAATAATATCTGAAAGAAATCCTTGGCGAAAGCTCGCTTGTGGCATTTATTGTTAGACGGACAAGAAGTCCTTTATACCTTACATTGGCTTTTTTAATAAGCACTATATTTTATATTTATATGATATTTAACGTTATTTATAACGTTATTAATTTAATGTTATTTGTATAAAAATATTGACACTAAATGCAGATTAGTTTAAATCTCATTTATATTAAAAATATAATTATATTTTTGTATTTAATCTTGCTTATGTACAAAATTATTCTCTCCTAAATTTCCCTAAGAAAATTTGCTAATTTTATACATTAACTGCATTGTATTACTTTTATACAGTCTTTGCACTTGTTTTCAACAAAACTAATAGAATATAAAGTTTGCTAAATTAATTATTAAAGATTATTTCAAACAAAGTAATTGCAGTGCCAATTATAAATTTAACTTACGATTGGTTTAATTAAAGATAAATAATTTAGGAACTTGCCATAAAAAAAAATCAAAATATAAATATTAATTTCTATTTTTTTATTTCTACATTTGACGAGCCATGCAGTTTCTCCTGTATCTGCTGCAAAGTCTTGCCTTTGGTTTCAGGTACGTAGACAAGCGTGAATAAAGCACCAGCAAGACTGCACGCTGTGAATATCCAGAACGGTATGTGTATGCCGAAATTATAGGCTATGACCAGATATAATTTTGTCACACCAAAAGCCTCGACACCGGCCGAGATAACAGTTACCATGGTGCCGAGAGGCTTAACGTTTGTGGGAAAAAGTTCACCGACCATGGCAGACGGCAGCGCGGACAGACCTACAGAGAACATGATTACGTACATAATCACACCGATAGCAGGCAACCATGTTAGTTTGCTGGTGTCCACATAGACATGTTGCAAATGGAAATATATCGCGACCATAGCAGTCGAACAGGCCGAACCGATTGCGGAGATGATCAGCAGCGATTTTCTGCCGCTGCGATCGGTGATAAACATACAGACGATTGTGCAGATCACTTGTACCGTGCCCAATATCATGGTTAAATATTTGCCTTCTAAATTACTATTCGCCTGCTCAAAAATTAATTCAGCATATTGCTCTATAGCCTGAACGCCGCTCATTTGGTGAATAGTGATGAGAGATATCACCGTGTTAGACATCTTTAAGATGTCTTTTGGTCTTCTTGTGCTGTCTGGGAAACTATCCCTTTTATAAATAAATCTTATGAGCTCTATAAAACCTTATCTAGAAGTCTCTTTGTAGATTAGAGAATGGGATGGAATTTAAAATTTAAACTAAAATTGATGTGTGTATGCCCTCAGGATGCACATACAATATTATTTTCTAGGAAATATATGTACTCGGATAAAATAAACCTACCAATAGTGATGTTGCAAAAGCTATCATCAACCAGCTCATTATCGAGGGTATGACCGTAAATAACATGATGTTTTTTCTGCCGTAGACATCCATCGTGATTGTACAAATAATGGCACCCACGGCTGAACCGAATGTAAGTAAAGATGTTACCCAAGCGGCTTCTTCGGAAATCAGATGTACAGGATATGTTTCATCCTTTCCTTGCATCAATATCGGCAAGGATGGTGATGACCAAGCAAAAAATTGGCCGACTGACAGCATTCCCAGATTTCCTTCCAGGTAAAATAATATTTCAAGTAGATTTTAAGGTTTTTTTAAATTGATATTAATAATGTCAATTTTATAGAAGAAAATATTCCTATCTATGTAAGTTTCATTTATATATATTATAAATATATTATAAAAAAAAAAAATTTGTTTGAAGTTTATATATATGTATAGCAATATATTATATACATATTTTTTTTTTTTAATTTTGATAAAACTTTATATGTGCAGCTATTTAGAAACACATCAATTAGAAAAATAACATAATGAAAGTTGTATTTGAGTATTCTAAGTAATTAAAAGAACGGACAGGCTATACATATAACAGGCTATATACATATGTAATAACTTAACAAATAGTTAGGATAACAACTAAAATGCATAAAAGGCTATGTAATAATTAAATATAAGTTTTGTCAAAAAATTATAAAAAATATTTATTAAAAGAGCTAAACAAAAAAATATGAATGGAACTAAATGTACATTATATACATAATATCATCGTCACATTAATATAGTCTCAAACGAAGCAATAGACATTGACTGTCACAGAGTATCGCGAACCATTATTAACATTAAAACCCATATAAAAATATTTGATATTATAATGATGTGTGATAATGAATAGTTACATATAGTATATATAGCCAGCTTTAAGCAAAAGTTTAGTTATTTAAAAAAGTTTAATAGAAAAGACAATTTATAAACTATTGCAAATTTGTTGTAGTTATGGAATAATATGAATATGTGCATGCAACCGAAAAATTTGTTTCCATGTTTATCCCGATGGATGCGTATAATTACAAAAAAATTATAATAGTAATGCCATTGTGTTGTTGTTAATCTATTATTATTCTATTATTCTTTTATACTAATAATTTTTTGCAACAGAATTATACATATACGTACCCGCTATTGCAGCAAGATATACCTTCTTCATCTTTATACAACACAATCGTTTTCACATGCGAATATTATAATGATCTGGGATGAGCTTTCAACGAATAGCTCTGTTGATGAAATTTTAAATAAAACGATTGAGATAATAGCGTCTTCAGTTTCATCTGAAATATTAAACAATTTTTATATAAATTTCACATTATCGAATGGAATAGAGATTTAACAAACTTTTATATAATCTTAATATAAGAGATTTTATATAAATATTTTATCTTGTGAATGGTTTATTATAATATAATTATTTCATTGCAAGAAATAGATTTCCACAAAACTTTTATTAGCAAAATTTTTAAAACATACATATAGATCTCAAACACATATATATGTATATCTGAATAGTAAAATAATTAGTTTTGAAGATTATATTGATCCGCGAATATCGTTCATGTTATGACGAAACAAAATTTGACATCTTACCTACGATTTCCAGATACACATAAGAGTTCTCGAAAGCCAGAATTATTTGCCATGTCAACTTTTATGGTCTGCTCGATATCATCTGCCTCCTTATAAACATCGTCTTTGTTTCTCAATTGAACGAGAGATTTTATGGCCTTCTGTCTGGCATTGCGGCGCATCAAATAATACGGAGATTCCGGGAGCCAGATGAAAATGACCAAAAACAAGCAAGGCCCCACCAAGGACACGAAGGCAAGATTTCTCACTGAGAGAAACGGACCTATCACGTATTCAAATGTGGTACCAATTTTTGAAATGACTGTGAACATAGATCCCAAAGTACCACGAACGTCTGCCGGTGAAATTTCACCAATATACATTGGCGTGGCCGAATGAGCGAGACCTGTAGATAATCCGGCCAAAAACCTCGATATATACAGCTCCTGGGAATTAGAGAAAAAATGAGAATATTAATGGACAAAATTTGGTTCTCATTCTAGTGTTTTACAAACTCAAGAAGATAATGTTAACTCTTTTAAAATAACTTCATAGATATATTAGATTCCATAAAGTTAAAAATCTCGTATAGATTGGATAAGTTTAGCCTGAAAATCAATTTTAATGTACATATAAACTTTCACTTTGATAGCTTTATATTGTTCAAATGACATATATATATTTATTTATTTGTAAATTGTGTATATAAAACTAAATATAGAAAACTCATAACATACCATACTGCAGAAGAAAAACAGAATTTTAGTTCAAACCGAGGCTTTTCTTTATCATATTATCATGGGAGATTCAAATCATGATGTGCATCTTATTTCTCTGTCACAAAAAATTTTTAGTATAAGAATCATAAAATAATAGCAGATTAACAACAATAGAATGCCAATACAATATAATTTTTTCGCTATGTTCTATAATAAAAAATTTATTATATTAATATTAGATATTTAATCGATACAAAGAATTATATTAATCTTTCAATGAGGGATATTTCATATACAAGTGGTAGTATTAAACATGTTGTACATTTTAATACTAATTGACGTTGACGATATGGAGATCATTTAAAATGTATAATTTAATTATCCCAATATTACATTTAACATTAACTGCACTATTAATATTACAATCTTAATTGTAATGTAGCTGTATTAAGATTATAAATAAAATTTAACATTTCGCAAAATGTTCATTTCAATGTGAATACCGAGATCAAAAAAATTAATATTTTGTCAATATGACGATATAAAATTATCACAGATTTATGATGGTTTTTGAATACTATATATAATATTGTGTGGCATCTCTCTTTATAATTAAAATAAATTATTCAATATGATGATAATAAATTTGTTCTCTTAATTTTTGTAATTTTGGGCGCTATATTCTATAAACGCTAATATAAATACAAACATTGCCACATTTCAAAAAAATATCCAAGAAAAAATAAACTTATGTAATTATATAAGATCATATATAGCCATATGTAATTAAATCCGAAATTTCGGATATAATTAAATCCAAGTTTTGGATATTTATATTAATTATATTAATAATTATATGTGACCATATATGATTGATCTTATATGCATTTTTTCTCAGATAGGCTCTTTATTAATTGAAAAAAATATAACTTTGGAAGTAAATACCGCATCAATAAATAAAAGCACAATGTGTGGCACATTTAGACAAACATTGCATATATTGTAAAAAGACGTATATGATTATACGCATATATACTTGGTTATATTAATTTTGCTTTATAAATTACATCTTTACAGCTAAGTGCATTCAGTATAAGCTCATAAGCACAAACGAAATATAACAATTATAACAATGTCATATCAGATAGTCTGTACTTATTAAATATTAAATACTGTTTTCTCTCTTTCTCTCTCTCATTCTGTGTGTGTGTAATAAAACAACAAATGTACAAAAAACCACAGCCGATTAAGTCGTATTTCTCATTTTCTCTTAATATTTTTGTAACAAGTCTTGGTAACTTTATACAAGCATTCCTCAGACTCCTCAGATACCCTTTAATAAATATTAAAATTCTAAATAGTAAAATTTACGACATAGTATTATAAAATCTGCAATAATTATCGATTTTCTAATTAATGACAATGTCACGATGATGAATCTACTCATTAACATCAACAATATACTGCAGTAACTATTTAATTACTTATAGCTATCGACAGGAATTCACTTTTACAACTCATATGCAGAGTGTGCTACAAAACTCTATCGATATAAACTGTCAAAGATACTATATATCTATTAATAAAATACACGTATCAAGAAAAAAATCTATTGTTTTTGCCGACAGAATTTTGTAACATTCTGTATATATAGAGTGAGGCACTTGTTTTTTATTTGCTCACCCTTAATAACGTTTCTGATTAACATTTCTAATCTAAAAAATAATTCAAACGTGTTATCTCTAAAATATAATCTATTGAAGTTTATATTTAAATCGGGCACGAACTTATGCAATCACCTGATATAATATTATGGAGAGAAATGTTGTATCATTTTAATGATATTCAGTTCTTATATAATTATTTATATTTTAAACATTTTAAAATGTGATTCCAGTGATTTTTCTATAAAACATTTTTCAACAGTATCGCAAATTTTTACAGAAGAAAGGTAAGTCTTCTTATAATACAAAATTAATTTGTTGTTTTCGATTATTATTATTATAGTGTCATAAACAAATTTCAACAATTTTATACAGAGAAATATTTTGCTTTTCATTTCGATTGTGTGTAAGATAATATTTGACAAAATATTTGAAATTAACTATTCTTTTATCGTTATTTATAGTATATAATAATTTTTTAACTTATAAATTACACATATCAAATAAAGTTGATGATTTTATAAAATAAAACGTATATACTAACAATTTTTTTAAAAGTTTTTCGTAAATAATATATCGTCACATTTATGTGCACATTATTAGTATAAATCGAGAAAAAAATAATATTAAATTTTTATTGAATTGTTTGAAATCTTCTAAATTATGTTATATATATAATGGAAAATAATATTAGAAATTGAAATTCATAAAGTTATATATAAAATATTTAAAATAAATAAATTATAGTTAATATATGTATATGTTTAATAAATGTTATGTTTATAAAATTGTAAAACTGAATACAGGCTATCTGAAAAATAGATTTTATCGAGAGATATTATTTCTATAATCATCGGATAATAATTAGATAAATAATATTTTTATACAATAAATATGAGTATGTGATATGGTCTTTGCATGCAAATCATTTATCTGCAGAAAGAAATATATATAATTTTCTATAGATATTAGAAATTATTAAAATTGTTAAAGCTTGTTTATAAATAACAGTAAGATAAAATTTAAAATTTGAATTATTAAAAAAAAAAAAAAAAAAAAAAAAATCGGTTTTTTTCGTTCTTCCATCACATATAAGATACTGTAAATAAGATAACTGCTATTTGAATAACCTTCTATGACATGTAACAAATAAATAGCTGCTTTAGCAAAACAAATACAAATATATCTTCAAAATTTACTGCTAGTTAAAAGAGATACATACAATATTGCACTGAGCATATGTGTGACACAAGAAGTAATAGTGGTATTCAGTATATATAATAAAATTTTAGTTGAATCGAAAACATCAAATATTTGCCGAGGGTATAATTGTATTTAAGGGAATATAATTTAATAATGTACACACACACATACATACACATATACGCGCGCGCACAATTAATATGAAGTTTTAGAAAAACAATACGGATAAGATGAAAGCTTAAGATGTATTGGAGAGTATATGCGATATCTTTTTTAGTAACACATAATTTAAAAATCAGTGGATAACACATAAATTTAAAAATCACTGAATAATACATAAATTTAAAAATACAATTAAACACATTTTTTTATATACATTATTAATAATTGGAAAGTAGAAACATTAATTTGTAATAGCCTTAATGCGTTCTTATCTCTCATGTACATAAACGTATCTGCTTGCGTTCGTATAAATATTATTCTCATGTATTCGTTTATATTTTATGTACATACAAATCCGTTTTGCATAGATTCGACTTCTGGATGTTTCCACTTCGCATTCTATTTCGTATAGCTGCCATAACTTTTTTTTTTTCGTAACTATCGTCAAGCTACAGTAGTGTGATGAACATGTACAGTGATGTATATTCCATTTTGTAGATGTAAAATGCAAAATAATACCGATTCTTATAAAAGTTTTCCATAGCGATACGATATGGTGTAGAACCATAATATGCGCCTTTCTAAGATTATTTTGTGATGATTGTAATTCTTTTATCTACACATATATAAAATACTTATTGTTAGAACAGAGTTGTTCACGCAATTGGCAAGACTTGCCATTTTCTCATGTAATATAGAATCTCATTTAATAAAGGAAACGATTCGCTGGGACGTCCATTGCACCGCGACAGCTACTAGGTGGCGGATTATCATCGTCGGAATTATTATGCTGTCTTAAAGATCTTGTTGGAAGTTGGCTACGTTGCGACGTTATCGCTCGGCGTCTCAGCTCCTCTATGTAATCCGTAGTGTCATCCGCTATCAGTTCCTGTATATGTTTACTCAGAGTCGACAATTCGGGTTTGTCATCTTCGTAGATCCCGTCGCGAACTCCCGATTTTTCATAAAACAATATGTAAGGTGTGTCGGGCGGTTTCAAGCTTTTGAAATCTTCGAACGTGGTCTGAGTTACGAAGCTGTCATTAAATTTGTACCAATTCTGCTTAGAATCACAAGCGTACGTGAAATAGTGTCCGTAATCCATACTATACCCAGAATGCACGACAGCGGCGTACAAATGATACGTCTCGGCTGCGGTACACGGTATCGCCGATACCGGCAACCGTATGGTATCGTTATATATCACTTTGTGCCGAAGTTTCGTCCTCAATCGCGTGTCAAAATCGTACCGGAAATGTTTCAACGTCAGAACCAAATGCGCGGGTGCCTGTAGAATTGTAATGATTCTCTGCGCGTCGCACAATTTCGTACATTTGTCGCATCGATACTTGTTCTCTCCCGTTAACTTCTCCGGCGTGAGATAATAGTTGATGAGATCCTGAACAGAAACTTCTTGATTTTCTTGTATCTCTTCAGGAAAACACAATTGCAGATCGCGAAATTTGTCCGTATTACGAGAACTAGTGTCACATTGTGCGCATTGGTATGTGATTTGACACTCCCCACCCAGTACTCTATGAACAAGCGACGTATATGTGCCCGTTTCTTCACCACCCACGGATTGTATACCGCTGTCCGTCGAATCTGAATGAGAATCGCTGAGACGCTGTCCTAGCTCTTCACCTGTTACAAAAACATTAAAAATATTTAAATTATAAATAAAATAGGATATAAATATAAATAGAAAAATCGAGAGATGCACAAAACGTAATCTATTTGTATATAAAAATACACACCTCGTGTAAAGTCCGCCAATGATTGCGTTTTCCGTTGCAACGCCAAACCTTCCGTTAGGTCTTCTTCAGTTGTCCAACGCTTAATACCTTTTGTTGATTCTATTGGCAACGTTACATTATCTTCTTGTTTTTCGGCCTTGCATTTCAGAGTTGCCGTATTATCATTTCCTCCACAGTTTGTATTAGCAGATTTTTCTTGCTCATGCAAAACATCCAACAGATGACTGCAAAAAGAAACAATTTTATTAATTGTAATAAAATTGTATTTAATGATAATCTCTAGATTTTTATTTGCCATTGTGTGTACAGAAATGGCAAATAAAATTTTTTTTTACTACATGTATTAAAGGGTAAAAAAAATATAAACAAAAAAATAGTATATTAACCAGAGAAATTCTGAACTGTCTTGCTGCTGTCCAGGTAAAAAATATGTAGGTCGTGAAGCTCGTAATACTTCAGTAGGCGCCAAGCATATTCTTTTAGAGTATAATAATAATGCAAACAAATTTTGCAGTCTCTCCAGCAAGGGCGTTTTTCCTGCTTCATTTAAAGGATGATAATTCAATACTTCTTGGCAAAATTGTCTAGTCATTAATAAGGCTTGCAGCACACTATTCATATAGCAAGTATTTCCGAGATTGGAGAGTCCAACTTTTCCAGACAATGGCCTTTCTGGTTCCACGATTGGTTCAAACTCTTTTGTTTCATCTATCCATACCGGCTCCCTATAAAGCTCTCTGACAACTTGCATCCGTGGTGATACAGGGTAAGGATAATTCTCTGCACTTCCACATGCCGGTATACAAGTCGAAAATCTTTTACTATATACTTTCATAATGTCGACTAAATTCTGTATACATTCCTTACTGGAATCCGAATCTTCTTTCATCAAATCTTTTATCAATGCTGGTATCCTTCTAACTATACTTTGAACAACTGACAACGAGCTTTGTCTTTTTAAAATGTAAAATATAATATTGGAAGCATTCTGGCGAATTATTGGTATCAGTAATACTTTGCACATTAACATTACTATATCTACCGAGGATTCTGTAAGCTCAAGAAGAGTGGAATATTTGTGTTGTTTCTCCAAACCACGTATAAACTCCATTATCCAAACGCTAAGTCGATCTTCACGCCATTGTGGAAGCCAATTGCATAAAACTTTTAAGGCCTGCACTAACTGATGATCAGAGTGAGATTGGGACAAAATCCAATCTACTGCCTGCGGTATAACGGAAGATTCTACCAACTGCAATATAGCAGCAAGGCCTGGACCTGGCTCTTGCTTTCTGTTTGTATCCGAAATGATATTGTATAAGGTTTGAAGACAAGTAAACATTAGAATGTCACGTTCTCCGTTCTTTGTGTTCGAGCATAGTATTTTGAGAAAATGCTGAATCTTGGTAGTGTTGTCGTAGAAATCTAAAATTTTTTTCGGCTCCAAGGGCATTTGGAAGGAAGACAGGCTCATGACTATCGCTTCGCAGAGTTTTGTGTGATTCGCCGATTTGGGCAGGTACACTCTGTTATTCAACAATGTGTTCAGAAGCTCGGTCAATCGCGACATGTCACCGATGTCAGTCTTTCGCAGCAGCACGGCAACATCGTTGGAAATTGGATTGACGTTGAAACGTTTCTCAACTATATACGTCGACATCCACACCAAGATTTTCGGCATCTCCGACACGTTGTGTACGTGACTCCTGAGAATATCCCTCAGCATATCCTCGCAATCGATCAGCTGGCTGAGTTCTCGACTGTCCAGTTTCAGATTCTCCAGCATCAGCCAGCCGTCGTTGATGGCCGCGTTGTTTCCCGATACTATTAATTTCAAACATCGTCCGATGCCGTTCTTCAAGACGTGCTCGGTATCCATCTCGTCGTCCGGACGCGCTCGAATTTCGCTACGACTTATCCTTAGTTTAGGATCAACAACGGGAATTACCATTAACCTTCAATCGATGATGATTCGCGTGAAAATCAAAATGATTTCATGTCGGTGAAAAAGTATGAAGGAAGAAAAAAAAAATAGGAAGTACTCAGCGCCATAAATCACATATGTCATTCGAGATGATCCTTTAATGAAAAAAAGATGCGGCATAATGGAGGCTTCACACATATTCATACATCTCATATGTTCGATATCCAATAAAAGAATTTGTTTTCTAGGGACGAAAATGTCGTTAGACTCGGCGTTTTCTATTGGATCTAGTGAGATTCTAGTGTGATCTTTCATTAGCGCAAACAATAGGACGATATTTATATAAATATATACATTCATATAAATATAAAAATAAATAAATAGAAATATATATATATTTATATGAATCAATGTCCACGAATCGTGATACTGTGTCCTGAAGAGGATCCAGTAAAGAAGGAAGAAGTCCCTGTCTTTCAGGGACACGATCGATCGGGTTGGCAACGATGCGAGTCGAGTTTCGAGCTCGAAGCTCGTTCGGCGCGAGAGAGGAGCGGCCAGGAATAGCAGAGAGTACGCGAGTCTAGCCGTTCCGTTAAATGAGTGCCTGGCAGAGGAGGTGTTCGACTGAAGGCGACCCTATCGTACGTACGACCGCTCCCTCCGGTAACTCGTCAAGACTCCGAGACTCGACAATAAGATTTGGACGCGGGAATACGGCCGCGCTGATCTCTTATATATATGGAGCGGGCTGACGGGAAACGCCTGTTTCACGTGCCGAATCGCGCGCAGTGAACGCGAGTGTGTGCGTGTTACATAGTGGAGTCGTCGTCGCCGCCGTCGTCGTCGTCGTCGTCGTCGTCGTCGTCGCCGCCGTCGCGTACACGAAGAAGGGCGGCGAGGTGCGAGATACGAAGAGGGGAGCGGTGAAGAGCAAAGAAGAGAAAGATAGATAAGATAGCTAGAAGGAACGAAAGAAAGACAGACAGAGAGAGATATATATATATTTATATGAATCAATGTCCACGAATCGTGATACTGTGTCCTGAAGAGGATCCAGTAAAGAAGGAAGAAGTCCCTGTCTTTCAGGGACACGATCGATCGGGTTGGCAACGATGCGAGTCGAGTTTCGAGCTCGAAGCTCGTTCGGCGCGAGAGAGGAGCGGCCAGGAATAGCAGAGAGTACGCGAGTCTAGCCGTTCCGTTAAATGAGTGCCTGGCAGAGGAGGTGTTCGACTGAAGGCGACCCTATCGTACGTACGACCGCTCCCTCCGGTAACTCGTCAAGACTCCGAGACTCGACAATAAGATTTGGACGCGGGAATACGGCCGCGCTGATCTCTTATATATATGGAGCGGGCTGACGGGAAACGCCTGTTTCACGTGCCGAATCGCGCGCAGTGAACGCGAGTGTGTGCGTGTTACATAGTGGAGTCGTCGTCGCCGCCGTCGTCGTCGTTGTCGTCGTCGTCGTCGCCGCCGTCGCGTACACGAAGAAGGGCGGCGAGGTGCGAGATACGAAGAGGGGAGCGGTGAAGAGCAAAGAAGAGAAAGATAGATAAGATAGCTAGAAGGAACGAAAGAAAGACAGACAGAGAGAGAGAGAGAGAGAGGAAAGACGGACGAGCGAGTGAGAGAGCGAGTAAATGAGTTAGTGACCGTGTGCGTATCGTGCGGTGCGTCCGTTTGCATGTGTGCGCGGCCGCGCGCGTGTGCCAAGCAAGAAGAAGAAGAGGAAGAGGAGGAAGAAGAAGAAGGAGAGAAGCCCGTGGCGCGCGCGACAAGAGAAGCGATTATAGGAAAGCTGCCTGCTGCTGTTGCTGCTGCTTTGCCTTTAAGAGGAGGAGCGCGGTCGAGCGCTCTGACGAGCGCGTCGTGCTTTTGTACCCTCCGCCGTCCTCGCCGTCGGGGCAATGTCTCTCGAGACACGTTCGAGCTCGGCCCTGTTCAAGCGAGCCGAACAGCTCAAGCGCTGGGAACAGTCCGAGACGAATCGCGAGCCCGCGCAGCCGCGTCAAGTCGCGCGCAAGATCAAGTTCTCCGCCGACTGCGTGTTCCTGGCGGCGTGCGCGGCCAGCGACAAGGAGGAGGTCGTGCGTCTACTGCAGAAAGGGGCGGACATCAACACCGGGAATGTTGACGGTCTCACCGCGCTGCACCAGGTAAGGGTGGAGGACCGCGAGGACGCCGCGAGGTGCACGGGTATCTCCGGCATCTCGTCGCTTTTGACAGTTCCCTCGGACGCGCGTCCTGTTTCCTTCGGATGTGTTCCCTTTCTTTCTGTCTCTCACGAGAATGTAACTTTGCAAGATGGCTACAACGAGCTCCAGCTGTCTAATTGGAGTATTGTTCGCGGAGATCCGTCACGTATATATTGACATATATCCATGAGATTGTCAACGAGAAGGATTTGACAAATGGAATACGTAAAACGTAGTTCTCTCGGTTCGATTTGATGTACAAGTATCTCTTTTAGGATCAAGAGGTATAATCATCATGATACGGTGTCTGCTCTCAACTATTAATTACTGTTTCCGTATATTAGTGAGAAGGCAACTTGTGGCAATAATGTATCTTGTATAACGAAAACACGCTAACTTTACTGCAAGATATTTTGATACATTGAGTTACGGTGATTCAAAAGTATCCATGCAATCAGAGTATCAGTAAATCTGAAAATATTTTGCTTTTCTATTTCTCTTTTATCGACTATTTTCTAATACTTTATCTGTGTAATTAATATTTCGTTAATTGAATTCGTGTTTAATTTTGATATGCAATATTATTGAATATGAATTGCCGTTCATTTTGTTTATCTCAACAAAAATTCAAATTTTCTTGTAAAATATGATTTATTTATTACATTATATACATTTAACCATTTATATTATATTAATTTGTACTAAAATTTCGTGATACTAAATTCTGTGAGACTTTAAAATTCATGTCATTTTATTTTGAATATAAAAATCATTAAATTATTGAAATCAGATTAAAATGATGAAATCTTAAACATAACTATATATTTCAGAAAAATTCGTTAAGCTTTATCTCACACAGAAACATCTCTATTCATTTCCTCTAAAAGTCTACTTAATTATATTCAAAGAGATATATCATGTAAATTCTTTAGAAAATCTTTATTTTTTTGCATTTTCAAATTATCTGACAAGATACCTGCAGTTCTTAAGTAATTTTTTAAGTTAAAAACTTAATTTTATGGCTGTTAAGAAACTTTATTGTTTATATTGTTTATGTGTGATTTTTATTATTGTTTTTATTCTATTCTATTATTTTTATGATTGTTTATGAGATATGTATTTCATAAACCATAATTTGTTTTTCCTTCTATGAAGCATGCCAATGATTGAAAATTTTTATCATGTATGTGTGTTATGCAAATAGTTTTCAACTTATATTTAAAATGTTGGAGTAAAACAATTACTAAGCCCAACATATTTTAATATTACTCTGAAAATTGAATGCATGTTGTACAAATTGTGTATGTAATATTTGGTTATAACACTATTAATAATTTATAATTCTAACTTTACATTTATTTAATAATTTATTTAATAAAAGTTTTTAATTATATATCAGCAATTATTTATCAGCATTTGGCTTTAAATATTTTAAAGAAAATAAATTCTAATTATTTTATTATTAGATTATCTATACAATTATATATATAATATAGATAATTAATGTTAAGAATTATGAAAAAATTTTGACAAATTAAGTTTTAAGGATTTCTATATCGGTAATAAAGCCTCTATCTATTAATTTTATGCTTAACTCTTTTATAAAAAAAAAAAATAAATAAATAATTTTATATATGTTGATTTTTAAAGAATTTGTAATTCTAATGTAGCTCTCTGACAACGTACTGTATAGAGTTATTTTCTTGCCACACTGGCAACGATTTTTTTCGCGAGTAGTAAGCTTTTATGAGCAGCCTATTTCTGGGTGTTTCTAAAAGCTGGCACAACTGGGCAATCCGGGACAGCTTGTACATACATGCCGTAACGGTTATTACAGTATCTAGGTAATTAATGTGGATTCATTAACGAGAAGGCCGAAACAGAATTTCTAATGCAAAAAGAATAATCATACCATAAGTCGAGGAAAAAGTAATTATATCAATAAGAAAATTTTTGGGGAATATTGTATTTTTATGTTAAAATAATAATTTAATTTTTAAAACGATTGTAAAATTACAGAACAAAATGACACAAAAGATTACAATATTTGATATACTTTGTAGAATTAAATTTTTTAAATTTAAATTTGTTTTATATTTTTTCTAAGTAATATATTTTTAATACCATATTTGCCAATTCAATTAATTAACAATTATAACGATTTCAGTGAAAGCTAAAAAAATATAATGATTAATATAATGATATTAATATGAAGATATATATTATATCGAAAAACTTATTTTCTCAGCTTTTCAAACTTTATTCTGAAATTGTTATAATTATTAATTATATATATGAATTGGTAAATTCATTAGCATTATGGTAAATTCATTGGTATTAAAAATATATAATTATATATTATATGATAATAATAATGATCGGAAGTCATTTGAATCTTATTCAATGGAACTACATTTTCCATAATGTGAAACGATATTTATGGCCGTTATTTAAGTAAGGAGGAAGTTAAGGTATTTCATGGATTTGCGAAAATAGAATGTGAAAATACATCAGGCATCAAATGCTATTTATAGCTCTCTGTTAGAAGTCGCAGGCTGCAGCATCTGTGTTCAGTTTAAATCCTCTGTGTCTAGCAATGTGTTGTAATATGTACCTACTTTTTTTTTCGCTTCCGTAATATATTGAAACTGCAGGAATTTGCACACATTGATGCGAAGAATGATTCACGAAAATATATTTTACTATATGCACATTTAATCTAATATAAAAAGATCTAATTGTTAACAAAGATAACAATTAGACAAATATAATTAAGTATATTTTTGTAATAAGTATTTTATTTCTATATTTTATTCCATGATTCTGTAAACTTAGAACTATGCTGACAAATTTAATATTCTATAATATCTTTTTATGAATTTTATGATCTAAATTTGTCATATCTCTTATGGCTAAATGTTCCATCATATATTGCCATGCAATTGT